TCCCTTAACAGTCAGGTTCTGTAGTATTATCCTGGGACTCATTTTTTTTTTAAGTTTTTATTTGTTTATTCATGAGATACACAGAGAGAGTGAGAGAGGGGCAGAGACAGAGGGAGAAGCAGGCTCCCCACAAGGAGCCCGACGCGGGACTCGATCCCGGATTCTGGGACCAGGTTGTGAGCCAAAGGCAGATGCTCAACTGCTGAGCCATCCAGGCGTCCCTGGGACTCATTTTTGATGCCTAGGCTAAAGCCCACTCTTCCAGCCCATTCAATAATTTTCTAAGCACCAATTCCCTATAATATACCTGTAAAAATAGCCATATCTATTTACTACAACTGAAAGCAGATTCATACAATTAGTAAAGATATAAAAGCTTCCCAAATTAATCTACACAATGTCAATGCAATTTTAAAATAATTTAACAAGCCTAACATGTATATGGAATAGAAGTCTGCAGATAGGTCAACTTAAAAAAAAAATATGTCAACTAAAAAAAAAAAGTAATCATCCTACCATATATCAAGAATACTGGGTCTACCACCCAAATGCAAACAATGAAATGATTACTTCTGGGTTTTTTTTCCCACTTTTTTATATCAGTGACAAATGATTTAGGAATATACAAAATGAAATGCCTTCTAGGTTTGAAATCTGGACAGTTCTATTAACCAAATGAAGTCACTAATTATATATTGGTCTTTTATTTTCTACCTTAACAACTTGGTTTAAAAAAAAAAACAGAAAAAGTAATACATGAGCAGTGTAATGTATCTGACAAATAAACACTGGGTGTCCTGACAGTAAACCTAAAAGGTGTAGACTTTAAGACAGGCCATTAGCCCACGGAAGGAAATCCCCCTGGGGATGTGTGATGGTCCTGGCTAGCACTGGATGTGAGCTTGGGGAGAAGACAAACTATTGAAACAAGAAAGTGAGTCAGTTACAATTTGGCAGTCACCAAGTTACCCCAGTTTAAATTTTAAAATGTCTATAGATTTGGTTTCCGTAAGTCACATTGTTTTGAGCACATAAAAGCTTTAAAAAAAAAAAAGTTCCCCAATAAACTGCAGAATACATCTTTAAAGGTGCTTAAATGTAACCTAAAAATACAAAGGGCGGGGGCGCCTGGGTGGCTCAGTCAGTGAAACATCTGCCTGGGGCTCAGGTCACGATCTCGGGGTCCTGGGATAGTCCCATGTCTGACTCTGCTCAGCAGGGAGTCTGCTTCTCCTTCTCCCTCTCTCTCTCTCTCAAACAATATAAATTTTAAAAATCTTTTAAAAAAATAGAAAGGGCAAAACCATTTTTTTTAAATTAAAAAAATCAGGTTGAATTAAGGGCCGTGTGAGATAGTCTTGCTGGAGGTGGCTCAGCTTACAAACACGGAGAGAAAGTTGGGCTGGACTCTTTGTCTCTATAAACTTGGTACAGTGCTTTTTTTAATAGCAGCTAACTTTTAAGCTAACTTTTAATTTTTTAAAAATCTACTAGAAAAATTAATGCTCTGCTGGCATTTTCTGCCTAACAAGAAAGGTTGCTTCAAACTTTTTATTTTTACTTGCTAAATTTGCATTAGCCCCACCTCCTTCCAGGACACGCCTTTTTTGAGAGAGAGAGAGAGAGAGAGTGCGCACAAGAGCGAGGCTAAGGGGCACAAGCAGGATGGTAGGGGTTGGAAAGAGGAGAGGCAGAGGAGGAAGCAGATACCCCACTGAGCCAGGAGCCTGATGCCAGGCTCAATCCCAGAACCCGGAGATTACAACCTAAGGCAAAACCAAGAGTCAGATGATTAACCCACCACGTCACCCAGGCGCCCCCAAGACATACCTTTAAAGCTTTAATTTTCCTGTGGCTCTCAGTTTCCTGTTCTCAAACCAAAGTTTGAGCCACTTGGACCTGTAATTTACCTTTGCAGCTCCAAAATGATATAAAATGTAGAGTGTCAATCTGCTACATCACTTTCCTTGTTCCTACAACCCCCTTATTCTTTAAACCAAAAATACAAGTTCGGACTCCCAAGAAAAGCAAACAAGGATGCTGGATGCTGGCAAAGTTAGCAAATATTAAATTGGAAGATATATTTAAAAGGACGTCGGATTTATAATACTATCTTGTTGCGAGTATTTTCCAGTCACTTTTAAAAGACATACAAATAAACCAGTATATACATTTTTCTGCAGGATCTGATTTAATTTCCTTGAAGTTCTTTATATTCCTCTGTTCCTTATATGCCAAGTCCTCTCCTATCTTTATAAATGACAACTCCACATACTCACTAAAGCAACTAAAGTTTACCAGTTTGTCAGTCCTTTTCCTCTTGTTGCCATATCAGTTTTAATACAAAAATACTGAACCTAGCAACAAAGTCCATCATCCATATTGACCCACCGTCATTGTAGCGCTTGCTTTTACTAGTGTGTAAGATACAATTCTCACTTTGGTTTATGCTGTTTATAAGAAGGCACATACTGGAAACTCTCAGCATATAAACACTGATAAACTGAATTGCAACTAATAAAGAATAGCAGTCATGGCAAGAAGAAAGAAGACTGGCCTCTATAAAGTGTTAAGTTTATTACCTTAAGCAATTTGAAAGACTAAGAAGATAATAGGATTGGGGAGGATTACATAGCTATGAAAGCCCTTAAAAATATTTTAGCGTGGTGAAGATAATAAACTGTACACTAAATAGGTGATCAGCAAAATTTGGATAATGTAGACTTTGATCATGCTTTGCTTTCTTACTGATGTTCTAGGATCTTCGTACCCATTTATCATCCTTGTCTGACTGCAGGCAATGTATATTCTAAGAGCAATTGATTTTCAGTAGGTTTTTTTCCCCCACCAAGTAAAAATTTAAAGATTTTATTTTTTTTAATTATAAAAAAGTTGTTGACCTCCTTGGTTTCACTCCGGTCTCAGAAATATAGAGTATATTAGGCAACTGAGATTTTAGAAGATGCTTTGGGGGCACCTGGTTGGCTCGGTCAGAGGAGCATGTGACTCTTGATATTGAGGTCCTGAGTTTGAGCCTCACATTTGGTATAAAAATTACTAAAAAAAAAAAAATAAACTTTAAAAAAAAAGATGTTTTGGATAATCCCTGTGACTTCAGTAAATCTTTTCTTTTTAAGCACATTTTAGCTGTTTTCTCTCCCCATCTTCACACAAGATTGTTTCTCTATCAACGTTCCCTGCAAAACAAAAAATCCTTGTCTGCTCCTCTTCCTCCCTTTCCTAGCACTCAACTTTCTGTATCTTTCTTCCAGAGTGATCTTATATAAGTTTTCTAAAATAAATATGTATTAATTTAATAACTGCTGATGCTATATAGTGGGTCTATGGAAGTTCATTATATTATTTGTGCTCCTATGTACTTGAAGTTTTCCACAACAATGTAAGAAGGATATTCAGTCTGATAATCAAAAAGTTAGGGTTGGCAGTATAAATTTGAGACTTAGCAAAATAAAGTTAAGATTTAAAGCCATGGGACTGAATGAAAAGACTTAGGAAGAGTGTAGGTAGAAAAAAAGATAGGACTAAAATGTATGCAACTCTAATATTTAGAAGGCAGAGAAAGAAGATAAAGCAAAGTAGACTGAGGTGTCAGTAAGACACCCCAGGAAGCGAGATGTTCCAGGAGCCTAGAGAAGAAAATATTTAAAAAATGTACAAGTAGCCAGGTGCGTCAAATGCTACTTAAAGGCTAAAATGAGAACTAAGAATTTGCCTTTCAGATTTGTCAAGATGGAGGTTTAGACAATTCTTTGGAGAGATTTTGCTATAAAAGGAAACACCAAAATTAAGTAGTGGCTGGAGCAGAACAGAGATCAAAAAAAAGTTTTTGGTTTTCTTCTGAAACACCTGAAAGGGAGGCATTTTAGCATACTGGTGGAATGACCTAGTTGTAGGGGGAAAACAGATATAAGAGGGATTTAACAGAAGAATCAAGGTCCTATATGAAATGCACAAACGTACAAGTGGAGGGAATATTTCTTCTGTGTTTTTTAAAAATATTTGTTTATTCATTTATTCATGATAGACACCGAGAGAGAGAGGCAGAGACACAGGCAGAGGGAGAAGCAGGCTCCATGCCGGGAGCTCGACGTGGGACTCGATCCCGGGACCCCAGGATCGCGCCCTGGGCCAAAGGCAGGCGCCAAACCGCTGAGCCACCCAGGGATCCCCTCTTCTGTGTGTTAACAGCAAGAAAGGCAAAATTTACAGATTCAGATGCACAGAGATGGTACAGCTGATGGAGGATAAATGAAGTGGTGTCAATCTTCACACCTCAACTCTTTAAGCGTTAGTTAGACGGCCAGTGATATGAGAAGTAATACGGGAAGAAACTACCTCCTCAGATTTCCGTGAGGATCCAACTGTCAAAGAGCCAACACTCAACATCAACCTAGAAGTTGTTATTAAGACTCCTGGGAGACACCATTTGCTTCAACGTGGATGGAACTGGAGGGTATTATGCTGAGTGAAGTAAGTCAATCGGAGAAGGACAAACTGTATGTTCTCATTCATTTGGGGAATATGAATAATAGTGAAAGGGAATATAAGGGAAGGGAGAAGAAATGTGTGGGAAATATCAGAAAGGGAGACAGAACATAAAGACTCCTAACTCTGGGAAACGAACTAGGGGTGGTGGAAGGGGAGGAGGGTGGGGGGTGGGGTGAATGGGTGACGGGCACTGAGGGGGACACTTGACAGGATGAGCACTGGGTGTTATTCTGTATGTTGGTAAATTGAACACCAATAAAAATTAATTTATTAAAAAAAAAAAAGACTCCTGGGGGATCCCTGGGTGGCGCAGCGGTTTGGCGCCTGCCTTTGGCCCAGGGCGCGATCCTGGAGACCCGGGATCGAATCCCACATCAGGCTCCCAGTGCATGGAGCCTGCTTCTCCCTCTGCCTGTGTCTCTGCCTCTCTCTCTCTCTCTCTGTGACTATCATAAATAAATAAAAATTAAAAAAAAAAAAAAGACTCGATCTAAGATGGCGACTGTGGAACCGGAAACCACCCCTACTCCTAATCCCCTGCCTACAGAAGAAGAGAAAACAGAATCTAATCAGGAGGTTGCTAACCCAGAACACTATATTAAACATCCTTTACAGAACAGATGGGCACTCTGGTTTTTTAAAAATGATAAAAGCAAAACTTGGCAAGCAAACCTTCGGCTGATCTCTAAGTTTGATACTGTTGAAGACTTTTGGGCTCTGTACAACCACATCCAGTTGTCTAGTAATTTAATGCCTGGCTGTGACTACTCACTTTTTAAGGATGGTATTGAGCCTATGTGGGAAGATGAGAAAAACAAACGAGGAGGACGATGGCTAATTACATTGAACAAGCAGCAGAGACGTAGTGACCTGGATCGCTTTTGGCTAGAGACACTGCTGTGCCTTATTGGAGAATCTTTTGATGACTACAGTGATGATGTATGTGGAGCTGTTGTTAATGTTAGAGCTAAAGGTGATAAGATAGCAATATGGACTACTGAATGTGAAAACAGAGAGGCTGTTACACATATAGGGAGGGTATACAAGGAAAGGTTAGGACTTCCTCCAAAGATAGTGATTGGTTATCAGTCCCATGCAGACACAGCTACAAAGAGCGGCTCCACTACTAAAAATAGGTTTGTTGTTTAAGAAGACACCTTCTGAGTATTCTCATAGGAGACTGCGTCAAGCAATCGAGATTTGGGAGCTGAACCAAAGCCTCTTCAAAAGCAGAGTGGACTGCATTTAAAGTTGATTTCCATCTAAATGTTGCTAAGATATAAGAGAAGTCTCATTCACCTTTGTCTTGTACTTCTGTGTTCATATATATATATTTTTTATTTTGGCTAGAGTGTCCACTATCCCAATCAAAGAATTAACAGTACACATCATCCCCAGAATCCATAAATGTGTTCCTGGCCCACTCTGTAATAGCTTAGTAGAATTACCATATAAACAGATTTTGCCCATCCACAATATTCAAAAAAGAACTTCCATTTCTATACCTTACAGGAAAAACATTCTGTTTATGTTCCATTGTATGCAGGAGCATATTTTGCTGGTTTAAAGAGTATGATGCATACAGTTTTCTAGCAATTTTCTTTGTTTCTTTTTACAGCATTGTCTTTGCTGTACTCTTGCTGATGGCTGCTAGATTTTAATTTATTTGTTTTCCCTACTTGATAACATTAGTGATTCTGATTTCAGTTTTTCATTTGTTTTGCTTTTGTTTTTTTCCTCATGTAACATTGGTGAAGGATCCAGGAATATGACACAAAGGTGGAATAAACATTAATTTTGTGCAAAAAAAAAAAAAAAAAAAGACTCCTGGTTTGATCCTCCATGAACTCAACAAGATTATCAATCTATCATTTTACATTTAATAAAGTACCAGAACTAAAAATAACAACGATGGATGTAACTTAATGGGGTTGAGGGTGTCAGGGAAGGCTTTCCGGAGACTTTTAAACCAAAAGCTACATGAGTTGCAGACAGTAACTGGACAAAAGTGGGGGTATTAGAAGTTCAAGGAGATGTAGAAACGAACAGACAAAAGGTCCATTGTGGCTATCAGTCAAGGGCCAGATCACAAGGCAACTAGAACCACAGTGATTCCCAATACCCTTCCATGAGTCAAAATGGGCACAAAATGGGCACAAAATCATTACATCAAGTATGTATTTGAGTTTGGGTCAAAGCCAACTTAAGTCCAACTGAGAGGTGAAAACGATTCATGGACTTTGATTAGATCACAAACTATAAACAAAGGCCAGCACACAGGTTTCCCCTTTCTTGCCTATCTATTGACCGAGGTCATGTTGAATCCTTGAGTTTGTTCAAGTTCAGCAGTTAAGTGTGGGAACTACTAACTCGTATTCGCCATAGATATTGTGAATTATTCTTGTCATTGCTAAGATAGTAACTTTTTTCTGGAGTTAAAAAACCTTCAATTACTTTTTTAAAAGACTGGTATATAAACATTACTAAGAATATAAATATTCTTATACATAAGAATGTAAATATTCAGAATCTGGATTTCCTAACCATTCACAGAATGTCGCAGCAGAAGTCAAAAATCAAAATTCTCTTTTCTTCCCATTAGGGGACCTTTCATGATTTGCAACATGATGAGTCTTAAAAATTTGAAAAGCCCAGGACAAGTGGGAACCAAAGGAAAATTAAAAATAACCTGGGATATTTCCTGAAAAACAGGTATTTAAAAGGTCAATCAGGTGACAGGTAGGTGAAAGAATGGTGTATTTATGTAAATGCTCAAAAAAACATTGTATGACTTGAAAGTTTCAAATGCCCTCAGTATAACATGGAAGAAGGAGGGCTGGGAATGTGTTCCTGAACAAAGATGGAAAAATGGGAGGTTTTGTTTTAAGATTTTATTTATGTGGTGATCCCTGGGTGGCTCGCTGGTTTAGTGCCTGCCTTTGGCCCAGGCCGTGACCCCGGGGTCCCAGAATCAAGTGCCACGTAGGGCTCCTGGCATGGAGCCTGCTTCTCCGTCCTGTATCTCTGCCCCCTCTCTCTCCCTCACATGAATAAATTTTAAAAAGTAATTATAAATATTTTATTTATGTGATGCAGAGGGAGAGAGCAGGAGCACAAGCAGGGGGAGTGTAGAGGGAGAAGCAGGGTCACCGTGGAGCAGGGAGCCCCACGGGGACTCGATGACCAGGACTCCGGGATCCTGCCCTGAGCCAAATGCTTAACCGCCTGAGCCACCCAGGCATCCCCCAAAGGGGTGTATTTCTATACACTTTGCAGTATTTGCACATTTGCACATTGCACTGAATGATGCTGGCGGTCACTTTGACCTTTACAGTAACCCACTTAGCCTAACGGCTCCTCTTTCTTCTGTACTCACCCTGACTCCTGTTTAAGAGAAGAGCAACACTGTTTCCTAATACCAACTGCTACACTTACCCTTAAAAAAAAAAAAAAAAAAGCAAGACAGCTGTCCTATTTTTCTTAGAGACGCTACATTGTAACAGATTTACACGAGAAAAGTATCCCAAAACAGAAAGATTCATTTTAATTGGACAGAATCTGCACCCACGGGGTCCTTTTTGTCCTAGAAACTGTATCTTCCCCGGAGAGGAGAGCTCTCCGGCTCATTTTTTACCCTGCAAGAGCCTCATGGCGAAGCGCAGCGATTCGAAGCTGGACACCGCCGCGCCGGGAATTCAGCCTCCAAACACACCGGGCACAAATTCTCCTTTGACTGCGACTGCGCAGTTAGGAAACAAGATTGGGGGGACGCCCCGGGGCGGGTGGGGCAGCGGTTAGGCACCTGCCGTCGGCCCGGGGCGTGACCCTAGGTCCTGGGATCCAGTCCCGCGTCGGGCTCCCTGCATGGAGCCTGCTTCTCCCTCTGCCGGTGTCTCTGCCAATCTCTCTCTCTCTCTCTCTCTCTCTGTGTCTCTTGAATAAATAAATAAATAAAATCTTAAAAAAAAAAAAAAAGAAAATGTGTTCAACACTTGTTCATTGTAAAATCCATGCCCACTGATATCAAGGAGCCAAGTTTTTGTTAAACAACAAAAAAGAAATGAGAGTCCCGCACGCGGGGGGCGGAGGGGGGGGCGCTGACACTCGCATAGCCCGGCTCCATGCCCAGGCCCTCGGAGCCCACGGAGCTCACGGAGCCCGCGCAGCCCACGGCACCCTCGGAGCTCACGGAGCCCACGGAGCCCGCGCAGCCCACGGCACCCTAGGAGCCCACGGAGCACGCGGAGCCTACGAAGTCCACGGCGCCCACGGAGCACGTGGAGCCCACGGAGCCCGCAGAACCCACGCAGCCCGCGGAGCCCACGGCGCACGTGGAGCCCACGGAGCACGCGGAGCCCACGCAGCCCGCGGAGTCCACGGAGCACGCGGAGCCCACGCAGCCCGCGGCGCCCGCTGGAAGCCCCAGCCCGGGACGCGCCCCAAGGCGCTCGCCAGCAACCGCAGAGCGGGGTCCTGCAGCCCGCCGCGCCGCCTCGTCCGGGGAGGCACGATCCGCTGACCTGGACTCGGTTGTGGGAAAACGTCTTGAAAAAAGGCGGATTCCGGCCGCAGAGGGAGCGTCTGCGACCCTCGGACGAGGGCTCCGAGCCGCAGTCAGCGAGCGGGGCCGCGGGAGCGCACGCCGGGGGCCCCACGCGTTCCCGCTCCCGACGGCGGGAAGGGCGGGCCCGCGGGCCGACCCACTCAATCCCAACCGTGCAAAGGGCCGACCCGGGGGGCTCACTCGTGGCCCGGCCACGGCTGCACATGGAGCCCCGCCGGGCCCGCCCCGCCCACCCGCGCCCACCCACGCCGGGGCCCCGGGCGCGCGTGCGCAGTGGAGCGCGGGGCTCGCGGCAAAGCTCGCTTCCGGACTTCGGGCGGAAGCCGCGTTGCGTCACTTCCGGCCTCCCTCTAGCTGCCATCTTGCGTCCCCGCGTGTGTGCGCCTAACCTCAGCTGGTCCGCCTGAGACCCCCCGAGCGCCAACCCTAGTCCCCCGCGCGGTCCCATTTGCGCTCCAACAAGGTACACAAAGGCTCTGGACGCCGGCGTGGGAGGAGGACGGGAACGGGGGCGGGAAGTGCCCGGAAGGAGCGAGACAGGGAGGGACAGGGCTGAGGAGAGCAAGGCGATGCGACGGACGGGCGCCCCCGCTCAGGCTGACTCTCGGGGGCGAGGGCGAGCCAGGGGCGGCTGCCCTGGGGGCGAGGCGACGCCGTCTCTTCCTCCACCTCGCGGCGGGACCCGAGGACAGGAGCCTCAGGTACCGCGAGGCTTTGCGGACAGTGGCCGGGCCGCGCCGGGCCGGGGAGGCCCTGGCTGGGCCGGGGCGGGGGCGGGGGGGAGGGGCTGGGGCTGCTGGCTGCGCGGGGGGCGGGGCCGGGGGCCGCGCGGGGGGCGGGGCCGGGGGAGCTTGGCGGGGGCTCCACGGAGCCCCGCGGGGTGCCCTGGGAAGTCAGGCCTCGGCCTGTTCAGGACTCCTTTTTTTTTTTTTCCCCTCTTCTTCTTTTTCCCCCTCCCCCGATGGTGTCTTGGGAAATAACGAGCGTGGAATGCTAGAGTGAACCAGACGCTTCCTCGCTGAGGGTTTCCTGTTTTTCTAGATGAAAGAAACTATCATGAACCAGGAGAAACTCGCCAAATTGCAAGCACAAGTGCGCATTGGTGGGAAAGTAAGTTTTAACAGTTTCTCGGGATTTGTTTTGTTTTTGTTTTTTTTAAGTTTTAATGTTTGGGGGACTTGCTCTTTTTTTTTTTTTTTGCCTTTTTTTTTTTTTTAAGGTTTTGTATTTGCTTTCCTTGAATCGTTGGCTTGTCACCGTCTCTAGAGGGCATTTCGTGGAGCCAGCAGGGCGAGGGCGGGGGAGGGGAGGAGGCGGGGTTACACGGTGCACGAGGGAGCGTGTCCGTGGGACGCGCGTGTGTTCAGTGAAAAGAAAAGGAGTCCGGATGGAAAGAGCACTTAAATGACAAACCTCGCTCCCGGGTAAAATGTGTCTTCAGTGTCGGTGTCTCGGTAGAACGATCGTGTTTCCTTAGTGAGAAGAAGTGTCATTGGGGTCAGGCAATCCTTGTGGCTCTCACACTCTCGTTTTGGCACGAAGTTTGTATACATTCGGTGCTTCGCTTTTTTGTTTATTTATTTTTTATTTTTTTAGATGCACTAAGTCGGGACATGAGTTCCACTTATCTTTTAAATTGTACTTTGTAACACAAGCTTCTGGGTGATAATTGTCCTTAATAGAGGTTTGTGTCTCTTTCAAGTTAAGGCTTTCCTATCGTGCCTTCTTACCTAAACGCAATCCAGAGTAGTTGGGCATTTTCTAGGACATTTTGGAAGATAATCTTTTGCTAAAGGTACATCACAGATTTTAAGGGCAGTGACTGTGGATCTGAAAATAATTACCTAAGCAACTAACCCTTCCGTTTTGATTTTGTAAATGTGCTAAAACTGAGAGAATGAGAGTATTTGGTAGGTTTTTAGGTAAGTTTTTGGGTAATTGATTTTTCCTGCTGGATACTGATCCAAGGGTATTCTTTTTTTTGAAGTTGGGAGTTTTTAGATTGTTTTCTGAGTAATTTACCTAACTCAGAAACTCCCCCCCCCCCCCCAGATGTACTTGGTTGTTAGCACATTCCTAGTGTTTAACAGGGTGTGGTAGCCTGTTGGAACAAAGCAGGTCTTCAACTTGGTAAAACTTGTAAAGCTTCCCTGGGACAAGGTTATTACCTATTAGTTTTTTCCAATTTTAAGCATTTGCCTTCAAGGAAAGTCTTCTGTGAAATAGTCAAAAGTTGCACTTAGGCCTAAATGATGAGAGGTGCAGCTGTGAAATTACAGACTCCGCCAACAATGAATGTATCCTGATCTCTTCCCTTTCCTGAAGCCAGTAGTCTTCAGGATCTGCACCTGCCCATTAACAAGTAGTAGGTGTTGCTTTTTCTTCTTAGCAATTGTTAAGAGCTGGGTGTGGCCCTCAGGTCCCAGAAAAACTCGTTATATTCTTTGTGGGTCAGTGTATTAGGGTTTTTAACTATCTCTTAGTACAGGTTTCACAAGAAATAATCTGAATAATGTGTTTGTGTGCTTTCTTTCTGTTGTTACTCTGATCATCCGTCTTTAGCTGTGAGAAACATTCTAGGTCAAGGGAAGTCTAGGTTTTTTAGGTTCTTAAGGTTGATGTGAGATTGAACTTCATTTAGTATAGGAAATACTTATGTCATTGTAATATGGAAATAACTACCTTTTAAGAAATTTCTTTATTATTCGATGTGAAATTCGGTGAGTTAGTTTTGCTTTAGAGAAATCTGTGTTAGGTACTTTCAGATAAACGGTATAAAAGAACATTATTCATTATCCGATCAGAGCATTGATAGTAAATTATATGAGTAAAAATTAAACTCTACGGATGTGAAGTGTATGGAATCTACAGAAGGTGTTTGTTTTTTAGAATCTTATAGTAGTTGTTTAGAATGTCTGTTAGAATTCTTTGCTAGATACCTACATGACCACATGAAAGTGATTTTTATTCTGGAAGGTTTTGGGGAGAGTTGGTAGCCAGTATTTTTTGTAGCTATTGATATTTTGTTCAGTTCAGTTATCATTTACTTAAACCATTAACTGTACTCAGTCCTGGGAATATGGAATTTAAGAAATTTATGGTCCCTAGGGGACTTTAACGCTAGTAGGGGAGATAGTTATCCTTTTTAAAAGTGTGTTTTGTTTTTAAAGTCTGTTTTTCATAGTGGAATATACATAGTGCTGTAGAAGCCTTTTCAAAATACAGAGATGGGAATGATTTTGCTTGGGGACAGTTTATTGCAAAGTTTAGGGAAGGCACAAAAGAGGCAGTGATTTGAACAGGGTTTTAAAGGACAAATAGGAATTGGTATGGCGGTTGGGGTATATTGAGATATGTGGGTGGTAACGTTTCCATAAAGAGCTTTATGTATCATGTAAAGGGCTTAATCTATACATATATAAAATAGTTCATGAGAGTATTAAAGAATGTTAATCAGAAATTGAGAGTCACATTTGCCTACCTTTGAAGGTTTATAGGATATGTTTGAGGAGGAGGAGATTGGAGACTTGTCTATAAGTACAAGGGGCTACAAGTTTTCTTGAAGCCTGTATTTATTCCTTCACCAAGTTACTAAGTGCCTTCAGTGAGCCAGATACTGTTCTCAGTATCCTTCAGAGCAGTAAACAGAATGGAAGCTCTTAAGAAGGTTACATTCTATCGAGCGGAGAGAGACAATAAAATACATTTATGTCGTATAGTAGTATTTATTATGAAGAAAAATCTGGATAGATAAAAGATGGTGACTGTAAAATTTGCTTTTTTTACATCGAGTGGTGGGAAAGACCCCTGATAAGATGAAATAAGACCAGAGCTCTGTAGTAAGGGAGGGAACCAATGCAGATAGTAGGGGAAGAAAGGAACAGTATGTGCAAAGTTTCTTTTTTGGCCTGTTGAAGGAACTGTGAGTTTTATTTGGCTAAAGATGAGAATGTGTGATAGGAGATGTGGTCAAAAACAGCCTAGTAGGGGCAGGGCAGATCATGTAAAGGACTTGTGGGTTAAGATTTTACTCTTAGGTATTATAGAAGTCTGTATATAGACTCATTTGGATGTGTCCATATACTGTCGTGCCTGTGAATATTAATGGATGTTGATTTTTCATTAATTAAAAACAAAAGATTGATAGTTTTGGACCTGGAACTTTTAGTTGAGGCTTAATTTAGGTTGATACATGCCACCTCTTTGATGACTTCTAGAGCAGATATTCTAAAAAATAGCACTGGGAAAAAAGTCATTTTATATATGACAAAATTAGAAGCTTAGAAGTTATTAAGGATTTCTAGACAATTCCTTTGTTAACCTTCTTTAGGCTTCCGTCATTGCCTACTTGCTGCCTAGAAGTTTGTGCTTATGGTAATTTTCTTAAACAGATCCAAAGATCAGAAAGGAATTACAAACTTTCTTTTTGAAAATGTCTGTTGTATGGTATAGATGTGTGCTGTTTTCTTTTCTCCTCACTCTAGGGAACTGCTCGCCGAAAGAAGAAGGTGGTTCATAGAACAGCTACAGCAGATGATAAAAAACTTCAGTTCTCCTTAAAGAAGTTAGGGGTAAACAATATCTCTGGTATTGAAGAAGTAAGTGCCAAATTTTATTTCTTTATAAAACAAGATGTTGTGGGCAGCCCAGGGTGGCTCAGCGATTTAGCGCCACCTTCAGCCCAGGGCGTGATCCTGGAGTCCCAGGATCGAGTCCCACGTCAGGCTCCCTGCATGGAACCTGCTTTTCCCTCTGTCTGTGTCTCTGCCTCTGTCTCTCTCTCTCTCTCTCTCTCTCTCTGTCTCTCATGAATAAATAAAATCTTTAAAAAAAAAAAAAGATGTCGTTGGGAAAAGCTTTTAATGGTTATACATTAAGTTTTTTTCTTTTTTTCTCCCCCACTCCTATCAGAGAATTTCATATCCCTCTAAAGTAGGTTTTCACTCCACTAGTAAATATTAGGGAAATTGCTAAATCTGAAAGCAATTAGAGTGCACTTCCCATTCTAGGCAAAATATAACCTGTGCTTCACTGTGAGGTAGTAGATTAGTTAGCCAGACCTCAGCTTTTCCTTAATAGAATGTTTGGTTTTTGAAAAATTTGGTGGGTGTTGCTAATCAAAATTTTTTTTTCTTTGTAGGTGAATATGTTCACAAACCAAGGAACAGTGATCCATTTTAACAACCCTAAAGTTCAGGCATCGCTGGCAGCGAACAC